GAGGAAAAAAACACATTCAATATTTACTTTTAAAAAATTACTTGGATTTTGATATTCATCCAGTTTCTAGGAAAGTTGGTTCACTGTGTCGTGCTCGACAATTTTTCGCCAGAATCTATCTTGGACTTTTATAAATTTATCATTCGGTCCATATTTTTTGATATGTTCACAGTCGATATTGATTTTTTTTAATGAGATAACAATATCGGGATATATCTTTTTAAATATGTAAAAATTAAAATCATCCAAAATTCAATATTACGAATTAGACGCGTAAAGTTGGTATATGGCCTGAAAAATACTTCAACAAAACTAAAAAAATCTTCAAAATAAATTTCATTCATTAATGAATAAATGCTGAAAATTTCAAAGAAATCGGATATTTCTTTAACTTATGTTATTTTTAAAAAATAATTCCGAATTTTTTCGACAACTCTGGGGGGAGAATGATAAGGATTTTGAACGTTTATTGTTGCTTACAGAAGTTAGATTGCTATCAAAAGGAAACTGCCTGTGATGAGTCTATATATTTTTTTTTATCAAAACACGGATTCTATTCTCTCTGAACAACTAAGAAACATCAAGCATGACATTGCTTAATTCTCAGATGTATTCACAATGAATTCAATGAAACTAATTTGCAACTGCAAGGAAATTATATCAAACTTTTCAAGGTTAAATAAGTCCTCCCCACACTTCTTTCTAAATCACAGCTATTCAAACGTAATAATGCTCTTCGTAAACTTTTCCAGTTCCCAAGAGTCTATAAACTGGAAAAGAAGAAGAGTATACCAGACGATGGCTAAGTACATTGTGTATAACTGGATGCGCTGAATAGAGATATGTCTGACAGATTTAGGGATTTTTCCCCTTCAAATATGAGATTGTGTGATCCACCCATTCTTAGATATCAACAATGAGGAAACATGAATAGTTGAAGACTTGTTTTCACTCTAAAATGACACTGAGCTGAGGCCCAAGTTCAAAAAAATAATATTAAGATAATTTCTTACTGGTATTCTGCATTGCGAAACACAGTTGAGATATAATTTATTGCCTCTCCAATATCATATTTTATATAGCAAGGTTTCATTGGACCCACCCAGCTTCTTTTCAAGGAACTGATTGAAAATTACTGAACGAAAGGTTTGATAATTCTCCTCAGTCTGATGTTAAGAAGCTAATATCGCTGCACCAATTACATCCAACCCATTAAAACTGTAAATTTGTCATTTCATTTTGCTAAATCAGTTATATATCTTTGTTTACTTGTTTCTTTGTTGAATTCATATATGTTTACACTACAGTGTTAGATTGTTGTTTTGAATTTGCAGTATACCTAATGCCAAGAATAGATGGGCCTTCATATAGATGTAGTAGGAGAAGGGAGCTAGGAATATGACTTCGAAGCCAAGGAAGCGGCAAGCTAGAAAACTGTTTGAGAACCACTGCTTTAGTCCATTAACCGGACTAATTAGAGGATGTGACAGACGAAGACGCATCGAGGTCCATATAGAATACTTAAAAAATAGTTTAAATAGATATATTGCACATATTTTGGATTATAAGCAAAGAAAATAAAAAAACACTTTTTTAGAGCTTAATTTTTAAAATAAGATGTCGAAGATTTTTCAAAAGTGCGTGGACATGTATTAGATATAGTATGCACATATCTAAAAATGCACGGAGGAGCATGAGGAACCTGTGGGAATATGTCTGCATGTACGTATGTGTGATAACATGCAAAAATAGAAACATAATTTAGAACCAGCCAAAAGCTCTGTTAGGGAATAAGAGTAACAAGCCATTTTAATAACAAAAAGATATCTATCTATCTGTTGTATGATACACGTAAACAACCACGTACACGTTCATATGACAAACACTGTCTGTATTTATGAGTTTTAAATTTACATTTTTACTTGTGATTTTGTTTCCTTTTTGCATTCATTTTGTTTGGATTCATCCAATTTTTCCCCCGAAATGCATAACTATAACATCTGATCATCTAGGAAGGTGTTGTGAGCGGTACTAACACAGTAATGAACAAGGCCAAATCCACCTAGTAACGGGGTACTGTAACATGTATTAGTGTGTGTAATGAGGAAAGGCGTCCAATTCATGACGAAAACCATGAGTGAGTGGACCAAGTTTGGAAGTGACCGCCACAGAAATTTGGAGGTGTTCGGCTTTCAGACGTACTGACTAACGGGAACATTGATAAAAAAAACTAAATTTCTTCATGACTACAAGGAGTCAAACTTTTCATGTTAAAGATCCATTGAGTTTGGCCAAGCAAATCAAAGATATTAGATAAAACGTTTCTAAAATCTTCCATCTTTGGATAGTTAAAAAAATGCTGGTCTGAGAGACGTCTATCCCATCGCGTAGAATAATCAAATGATTAAACATTGTACTGATATAATGAAACACTAAATTATTACTTTCCTTATATCATTGTAATGCATAAGCAGAAGTCTGAAGCAAAAAGGCCAAGTGACAGAAAAGATAAAAATGGGCGAGAATACATAGGAAAAAGTTCATTACGAAATACAAGTATTACTTCCCAAAAGCTAAATGATGCAGATTTATCGACAAAAATTGCACCCTCTGCTCAAAACAAACTGAAAGCAAAATGAATTCATCTAAACTCAGATTAAAGCAGTTGATCATGAAATCAGCGTCCAAAGAAATCACACTTGAAAGTAAACAGAATACTACTAAGTAAAATAAAAGTTCTGAAATATAATACACACAAAACGGATTTTTAATCATTTCACCCCAAGCAAGGCGATAATGCCACTAGAACGCAGCAGAGTTACAGGAAGTGAAAGAGAATGAGAAGATTTTAGCGAGGAGAAATGAGGAAATAAAGGAACAGGATTCAGGAAAACAGAAGGTGCGATTGACGTTGCATTTAAATTTTTGAAGATTGTATGTGACAAGGAAACAAAAAATAGGAAGGGAGTTCTTCAGGTTAAATTCATCCACTCGAGGCACTAAGGAGGAAAACTCAACAGAACAAGTGCCATGAAAATATTTGTAGAACAGACCGATGGGAAGTCATGTCACATTGGTGAGAAAGTAAGTCGAAATGCCAGGCCAGGATCGATTATATTGCAGACCCTTTACCGACTTTTGTCAAGAATTTTTAGATATGGAGTAGAAGCACCAAACCAGGTATAGTAGTAATATTCAATGCACTGACAAATGGTCGAGCTATAAATGTGCAAGAAGGATTCTGATGAGAAAAAAATTCTGAAACGACACAGTGAACCAACTTTATAGCAGTAGACCTAAAAATTGATACAATATAATCACACTTCTTCAAGTTGGTGGAAAACATGAGTCCAAAAAGGCGCAAAATGTTGCTCTCCTATATTTTAGCGTCATCCATACTGGTGGCACCCAGAAAAATTACTCTGTGTGAATTAAATGAAAGCAAGTTTTTGGGGGTATTAAAATTTACAAGCCATTCGTTGTTTCAGTTAGTCACTGATTGGAGATCCTTTTTTTAGAGCAGTTGCTAGTTTTACTTTGTCGTGCTTGCTCCTAACACAGGAGTAAATAGTTGTGTAATCTACATAAATAACTAGTTGGCAACTAATGGTATCAGGAAGGTCTTTGATGAAGATCAGAAACAATGTAGATCCAAGGATAGGACCATGGGGCACCTTGCATTAATATGAAAGAAATCTAGTAATGTGTTCGTACAACATTACCTTAATTACACGATTTGTTAGGAGCGATTAGATTAAGCCAAATATTCGTTCAGAGATAACGTAGTCTTTGAGCATGTGGAGAATGCCAGCATACCAAACCCTGCGAACGCTTTTGAGATATCTAGAACTGCAGCCCGAGCTGTGCCGTTCTCATGTAAAGTTTGATAGGCAAATTCAGGGATAGCCGTTAACACAGCGATGGTAGTCCTGGAGAAGCGGAAGCCATATTGTTTATCAGAAAGGAGGACGTATGAAGTAAGATGCATAACCAATTCAGAGTTGGTAAGGGTCTTTCATACTTTACCAAAAAGAGGTAATAGACTAATACGGCGTTAATTTGAGGGATCAGAAGGTTCCTAGAGTTCTTAAATACAGGAACATCAGTGGAGGACTTCCAACAAGCTGAAAAGCAAAAAGCAACGAAGCATTTCTGGTAAAGTTTGGCGAGAACAGGAACCAGTTCAGGTGTACATTTCTTTAGAACAATTGCAAGGATACTGTCGAAACTGCAAGTTTTTTTTTTATATTGGAAATACATAGATGTGTAGAGAACCTGAAAATGTGCTTGAAATCGTCATATCCTTTGCTTTCCAAGTGAGCAACAATAATTTCTAGTTGGTACTTTTTAAGAAGAACAATTTATCCTCATAAATTTATGATTAGTTTAACAAGCATATAATTTCTTCATTTAAGAGAATTTATTGCTGTTTTAAAATTTAATTTTATTTTCTACAGAAACAAGTAATATTTTTTTAGCAGGACAATTCTTTGGGAAAGATAATTTAAAACTTAATGCATTATCGGCATTCAATTAACAGAAATTTATGGAAACTCATTTCACAGAACAGACAGGAGAATTAAAGAGGCTTTCACAACACAAAGAAAGAAAATCACTTGTAACACGTCAGGAAAATAACTCACGAACGCCGTAGCCAAAACTGCCCGAATTTTTTTTTCCTCCCGAGTCGACAACACCAACTGCTTTTATCGGCAGAACCTATTTTTTTTTCCATTCGTCGACAGCCGGGATAGGATGCTCCGTAATTTGCATATTAATATACTCTTATAGCGACTCCTGCGACGGACTTGTTTCTTTTTCGTCACAGAATACACTTTCGCGCTTTCGCTTGGGTTGACGAGGTAAGTCGCTATAAGAGTTTTGCTGACTACTTTTTTGGCAATCCCTCCCCGGCAGATCGCACACAAAAACACGAACTTTTTTCCGGGGTACTTGATTATCTCGTTCACTACACTCCCCCTGTCACATAAGTGACACTCATGGGCGGGCCTTTTATTCTTAAGCTTCTCCGGAGCGGGGCAACTGTTGGAGGAGATTGTGTGTTATATTCTGAGGTTTCTTCTGATCTGACAACCTCATGCGCAGAGTCTTCATCATCTGAAGAATGTTCTGAAGATTCTTCTTCTGAGGATTCTTCTGGTCTGACAACCTCACGCACAGAGTCTTCACCATCTGAAGGGGTGCTAGCCCTACCTCCGATGGTAATTATTTGTTCACTTTCTGAGCACTCACTGCTAGTGTCACTTGTTGACGTATCTGTACCTACATAGTGACGCAAGTCCTTTATGTGTCTTGGTATGCCATCAACCAGCACAGAACGCGAGTTACTTAGTCCAGTGACATGCCCCACCCGGTACCGGGTTGTACACCGGCTATGTGGAGATTTCACCCACACGCGATCGCCCAAGTCATACGGCGCTCGTTCGTTTATCCGTTCAGTTGAACGCGTTGCGTCAATGCCTCGTAGCCGGACTTTATACTGATAAATCATGTTGGCTGGCGCAGTTGAGGGCGATACATTATTGTCTCTCGGAGTAACATTGTACCAATACACCGCCTCCATTATGGAACACTGCTTCCTAGCAGCGATTCTTTTGATGCTCCGATGACATCGCTCGATTATGCCATTCCCTGATGGGACATACGCGCAGCGAAATCTGAGGTGTACTCCCCACGAAGCCACAAAATCTTTGAATAGTTCACTGCGGAATGCAGTGTCGTTGTCAGTGAGGAGTTCCGTCGGAGGTCCACGTTCAAAGAACAATGACCCCAAGTGGTCAATGACGCTTGCGGAATCCTGTCGACGCAGACGCCGCCAAATAGTGAACCGGGTTGGGCCACAATCAATCAGGGTTAAATAGTGATGTCCGTTATAATGGGTGATGTCCATTCCAACACGGTGCCACACCTTGCTTACACTCACTTGTCCTTTTTGCCATTGCACAGGTGCTGGGTCGATGGACTGACACTCCTTGCATTCTCTGACCACTGCCCTGACAGCAGCTTTGGATACGGAGGGATAAATCTGCCTCACGAAATATAAGGTCCGTTTTACACCGGGATGTCCGCTTTGGCAATGCACAGATTTTAGTAAATCTGAGTTATAGTTGCTCGTTGATGTTACACAGACATGTTCTACCGGCTCTACCTCTTTCTTAATAGCGTCAAGCCATTTTTGGGGTACCCTTGTTAAAGTATCGGCCTTGTTCTGCTGTGATCTGACCAGCTGTATGTCTACGGATAAGTGGTATTCACTTACCAACTTTCCCAGTGTGTCTAGCCTCCTTCGAATGAGCATCTCGCTCGCAGCCTTTGTATGTATCCTAGCCTTCCCCGTAAGAGTGTCTGATATCCACTTATACACGCATGCGGAATCCGTGAATAAATGCAATACCTTTGCATTCCATTGAAGGGCCGCGGTGACTCCCCTGATAACGGCGTCTAATTCTGACAGGTTGATATGTTGCGTATCCTTCTCGGGACGCAACCAACACGCATCTTCCACGACAGTGTCACCTACTTCAAGAGACACTCCTGTTGCAAGGGAGCTCGCGTCGACCCAGACGTTAAATTCACATCCGTCAACGCACCATTTACCACGTACGGGGTCGTCTTGACGCACCCTAGTAATGACTTCCCCTATCATGTGTCTAAGGGGAGCATCATTGGTTGTGTCATCCCAACCGGAAGTGACAGCAGTCACCCTACGTTTAATAAATGCAGTTGCAATGCGGATCCACCCGCCCACGGGAAAATGTCCCACCAGCTTTCCACATAACGAAAACACGCTGCGTCGGGTCATGTGTTTGGGAATGTCCGGGAGCTCGCTTCCACGTTTCCAGTAAAGCATGTTGTGCTCCCCCCAGACCTGCAAGCCGAGCACCCGAGCACCATCCTCCAGTCGTTCTGGGTTTTTACATTCGAGCCCAAAGTCAGCAAGATGCTTTCTCACCTGTGAAGCGGGTACTAAGGTTTCGTTGATGTAGATGTCGTCAATGTAGGCTGACGTCGCTTGACGAATTGTCTCATCCTGGGATAGCACAGCATCCACGATGGCTTTCATGATGGGCGGCGCCACATTGAGTCCGAATCCCATTCGGGTTAAGCAGTACCTCGTCCCATTAAGAATCACCGTCTGAAATGGCCACAGTGACCGGTGCACGCGTACCTGCAAGTAGGCCTTTCGAAGGTCAATCACAGAGACATTGGATCCCTTCGTTCGCCATTCTCTCAATTTTTGTGCACACACATCAGCATGAGCTGTGTATGTGTCTACATGTTCGTTCAGTTCTCTATAATCTAGTACAGGGCGCACCTTTCCCTTGTTCTTTTGTACCACGGCCATCAACGGGATGAGGCCTCTTGGAGGACCAAGCTCTTCCTCGGGATATGGAGTCAGCCATCCGTTATCCAGCCACACCTGCAATTCGCGCTGGTATTCTTCCTTGACGCGTTCGGGCACCGAATATTCTGACACTCGGTTCTGGAGCTTTTCTGGTGGGTTATTTTCCGACCATTTCCAAAATGCTGTCCATGTCTTCGTCCTTTGGTCGAACTCTGCGCTAAAGTCGGGCTCGTTGATCTTCAAAGTAGCACAGATGGGCGGATCAGAAAACTTGACTTCGCCTGCCTCTGTAATGCGTACGCCGCCCAGCTCCTTAATAATGTCCATCCCAAGGAGCAGATCGAAACCTAATAACGCGCTGTCCACGACCAACACACTGACTGTGACAGGGTCACCGTTGTTAATACTAAGTTTGATGTTTCCAACTCCCCGGCTTCTGAGAGCCTTTCCATCAGCCGTTAGTACGTCCATCTTTTGTCTGCTCCACTGTCGGCAAATCGAACCGTTGGTGAGTGACCGAGAGCAGCCAGAATCTATTAAAGCGGTACGCGTTATTCCATTGATGCGTACCTTAATCACAGGGAGCGCCACTTTCATGCTCGGTGCGGGAAGAGACCGGCGCTGACGTCGCGTCCCCATTCCATTTCCCGGGCACTTAGAGGCAATATGACCTACTTTCTGACATTGAAAGCATCGTAGATCGAGACGTGCCCTTCGCGCCGACCCGCTGCGCACCTCCTCGCGTTGATAGCGGCAGTCTCTGGCAAAATGATTCGGCCCAGAGCACCGATAGCAGGTGGCAACGCCATGGTGACGAATGGCTGGGGTCGGACCTTCTTTGACTTCAATTGGTTGAATAACTGCGGCCACTGGTTCATCAGCCTCTTTTTCGTCGATCATGACAGCACGGGCTCTGGTCAACAATTGATTGAGCGTCAGGTCTTCCATTCTGGATGATGCGCGGAGTATCTGCTTAACATGACTGGGCAATCCAGAAACGAAGGCACATGTCATCCATTCTTCAGGAAGCGGTGCGATTGGAACGGCGAGCTTCTTTAATTCTGCCAAATATACGTCTACTGTCTCGCCAGGTCGCAGACGCCGTGCCTGGAATTGGTCGTAGGCCACGAACCGGTCAGTTCCAAACGCGGTTAGTAGAGCGTGCTTTATTTGCTCAATGTCGCTTTTCTGTTCTTTACTCAGCTGCCTATACACAGCAAGGGCACCGCCATTCAATCGCAGAGGAAGAATCCGATCAATCTTCGATATCTCGCATAATTCGCAGACCAGTTCCACCTTTTCGATCCATTCAACCACAGACTGTCCACTAGTATCACCACTGAATTCGGGGATCAGTTTTATATCGAACGGTCTTTCCGCCATCTTGCGAGAGACAAAGTAAATGCCGAAATAGCTTGAAGAGTAAGCGTTCTCAAAGCAAATTTGTGGCTTTCACAACACAAAAGAAAGAAAATCACTTGTAACACGTCAGGAAAATAACTCACGAACGCCGTAGCCAAAACTGCCCGAATTTTTTTTTTCCCCGAGTCGACAACACCAACTGCTTTTATCGGCAGAACCTATTTTTTTCCATTCGTCGACAGCCGGGATAGGATGCTCCGTAATTTGCATATTAATATACTCTTATAGCGACTCCTGCGACGGACTTGTTTCTTTTTTTTCACAGAATACACGCGACGCGCTTCGCTTGGGTTGACGAGGTAAGTCGCTATAAGAGTTTTGCTGACTACTTTTTTTTTGGCAATCCCTCCCCGGCAGATCGCACACAAAACACGAACTTATCCTTCCTCTCTTCATTCAATTTATGCACCACTCTTCATTTATTTTATCCTCCACTCTTCACTCAATTTATCCACCACTCTTCACTCAATTTATCCTCGTCTCTTCACTCAATTTATCCTCCTCTCTTCACACATATTATCCACCTCTCTTAACTCAACTTATCCTCCTCGCTTCATTCAATTTATCCACCTCTCTTCACTCAATATATCCTCCACACTTCAATCAAATTATCCACCTCTCTTCACTCAATATATCCTCCTCTATTCACTCAATTTATCCTTCCTCTCTTCATTCAAGATATCCTCCTCTCTTCATTCAATTTATCCTTCCTCACTTCATTCAATTTATCCACCTCATTTCATTCAATTTATCCTCCTTTCTTCACTCAATTTATCCTCCTCTCTTCATTCAATTTATCCTCCTGTCTTCGCTCAAAATATCCAACTCCCTTTACTCAAAATATACTTCATCTCTTCACTCAATTTGTCATCTTCAAATCACTCAATTTATCCTTCCACTCTTCACGCAATTTATCCTCCTCTCTTCATTCAATTTATCCTCCGCTCTTCATTCAATTTACCCTCATCTCTTCACTCAATTTATCCTACTCTCCTCATTACTTCCCCTTTTCACTCAAGTTATCCTCTTCTCTTCACTCAATTTATCCTTACTCTCTTCATTCAATTTATCCTCCTCTTTTATTCAATATATCCTCCTCTCTTCACAGAATTTATCCTCCTCTCTTCACACAATTTATCCTCCTCTCTTCCCTCAATTTATCCTCCTCTCTTCCTTCAATTCATCCTCCTCTCTACATTCACATTATCCTACTCAATTCCCTCAATTTATCCTTCCTCTCTTCACTCAATTTATCGTCTTCAATTCACTCAATTTATACTTGTCTTCATTAAATTTATCCACCTCACTTCATTCAATTTATCCTCCTCTTTTCACTCAATATATCCTAAACTCTTCATTCAAATTATCCTTCCTCTTTTCATTCAAGTAATTCACCTCACTTCAATCAAATTATCCACCTCGTTTCACTCAAATTATACACCTCTCTTCACTCAACTTATCCTCCCCTATTCATTCAATTTATCCTCCTCACTTCATTCAATTCATCCTCCACACTTCATTCAAATTATCCACCTCTCTTCCTTCAATTTATCCTCCTCTCTTCCTTCAATTTATCCTCCTCTCTTCCTTCAATTTATCCTCCTCTCTTCATTCAATTCATCCTCCTCTCTTCGCTCAATTTTTCCTACTTTCTTCCCTCAAAATATCCTTACTCTCTTCACTCAATTTATCCTCTTCATTTCATTCAATTTATCCTTCCCCTCTTCATTCAATTTATCCACCTCACGTCATTCAATTTATCCTCCTCGCTTCACTCTATTTATCCTCTTCGCTTCATTCAGTATATCCTCCTATCTTGACTAAATTTATCCTACTCCCTTCCCTCCAATTATTCTTCCACTCTTCACTCAATTTATTCGCTTCACTTCTCTCAATTTCTCCTCCTCTCTTCACTCAATTTCTCCTCCTCTCTTCACTCAATTTATCCTCCTCTCTTCACTCAATTTATCCAACTCTCTTCATTTAATTTATCCTCCTCTATTCATTCAATTCATACCCCTCTCTTCACTCAAATTATCCTGCTGTCTTCCCTCAAATTATCCTTACTCTCTTCACTTAATTTATCCACTTCACTTCACTCAATTTATCCTTCCTCTCTTCATTCAAATTATCCACCTCCCTTTCATTCAATTTATCCTCCTCTCTTCACTGAAATTATCCAACTCTCTTCACTCAACTTATCCTCCTCACTTCATTCTTTCTATCCTCCTCTCTTCACTCAATTTATCCTGCACTCATCATTCAATTTATCCTCTTCTTTTCATTCAATTTATCCTCATCTCTTCACTAAATTTATCCTATTCACTTCCCTCCAATTATCCTTCCTCTCTTCATTCAATTTATCTTCCACACTTCATTGAATTTATCCTCATCTCTTCATTCAATTTATCCTTCCTCTCTTCATTCACTTTATCCCCCTCATTTCATTCAATTTATCCTTCCTCTCTTCACTCAATTTATCCTCCTCTCTTCACTCAATTTATCCTCCTCTCTTCACTCAATTTATCCTCCTCTCTTCACTCAATTTATCCTAGTCTCTTCCCTTAGATTATCCTTTCTCGCCTTACTCAATTTATCCTCTTCACTTCAATCAATTTTTCCTTCCTCTCTTCATTCAATTTATCCACCTCATTTCATTCAGTTTATCCACCTCCCTTCACTCAATTTATCCTCCACTCTTCATTCAATTTATGCTCCTCTCTTCACTCAAATTATCCTCTTTTCTTCACACAATTTATCCTCCTCTCTTCACTCAAATTATTCTACACTCTTCATTCAATTTCTCCTCTTCTCTTCATTTAATTTCTCCTCTTTTCTTCACTCAAATCATCCTCCTCTCTTCACTGAATTTATCCTCCTCTCTTCACTCAATTTCTCCTAAACTCTTCACTCAAATTATACTTCCTCTCTTACAATCAATTTATCCTCCGCTCTTCACTCAAATTATCCTTCCTCTCTTCACTCAATTTCTCATCCTCTTTTCACTCAATTTATCCTCCTCTCTTCATTGAATTTAACCTTCCTCTCTTCATTCAATTAATCCACCTCACTTGACTCAATGTATCTTCCTCTCTTCACTCAATTTTTCCTCCTCTCTTCATTCAATTTATCCTCCTCTCTTCATTCAATTTATCTTCCACACTTCATTGAATTTATCCTCATCTCTTCATTCCATTTATCCCCCTCTCTTCACTCAATTTATCCTACTCTCTTCACTCAAATTATCCTTCCTATCTTCACTCAAGTTATCCACGGCTCTTCACTCAATTTATCCTCCTCTCTTCACTCAAATAATCCTCCTCTCTTCACTCAATTTATCCTACTCTCGTCACACAAATTAGCATTCCTCTCTCCACTCAATTTATCCTCCCCTCTTCACTCAATTTATCCTCCTCTCTCCAGTCAATTTATCCTCCTCTGTTCACTGAATTTATCCTCCCCTCTTCAATCAAATTTATCCTCCTCTCTTCAGTCAATTTATCCTCCTCACATGATTCAATTTATCCTCCTTTCATCACTCAATTTACCCTACTCTCATACCTCAAATTATCCTTCCTCGCTTCACTCAATTCATCTCCTTCACTTGACTCAATTTATACTTCCTCTTTTCAATTTATCCTCCTCTCTTCGTTCAATTTATCCTTCCTCTTTTCATTCAATTTATCCACCTAACTTCATTCAATTTATCCCCCTCTCTTCACTCCATTTATCCTCCTCTCTTCATTCAATTTATCCTCCTCTCTTCACTCAATTTATCCTCCTCTCTTCACTCAATTTATCCCCCACACTTCATTCAATTTATCTTCCGCTTTTCATTCAATTCTCCTCCTCTCTTCACTCAATTTATTCTACTCTTGTCACTCAAATTATCCTTCCTCTCTTTACTCAATTTATCCACTTCTCTTCTCTCATTTTATCCTCCTCTCATTCACTCAATTTATCCTCCTCTCTTCATTCAATTCATCCTTCCTCTCTTCACTCAATTTATCCTCCTCTCTTCATTCAATTCATCCTTCCTCTCTTCACTCACTTTATCCTCCTCTCTTCATTCAATTTATTTTCCTCTCTTCCCTCAATTTTAAGTGATAACCTCATTTGCTGATAAAGCTGTTCGTAAATTCTCTTTCAATTCTACTATTGACTCATTTGAATTATGTCTGCTTGACTTTTTACTTAGAACTTAGAGTGATATGCATATAGTTCAGTCCATGTTTTCTGCTATCATGTCTAAACTGTCATTTCTGCTATCATTTCTATGCTTTAAACCACCAAGCATGTAAACTTGATGGCATCTTTGCAATAGTCTTTAAGAAATCTGCTCCTTAACTAGCTTCTATTCTCTCTAAACTCTACAATAAATGCTTGGCTGCTTCTTGCTTACCTACTTATTGGAAATCCCCTTCTGCAGTTCCAGTCTTAAAAAACTCATTTGTCTGATCCTTCTATCAACCTATTAGCCTTCTACCTCTTTTTGGCGAAGTACGAGTTATTTTAATCAACTTTGAAGTGGTTAAACATCTCACCTCGCTGTGTCTTCTTTCAGATAATCAATATGGCTTTCGTTTTTCTAGGTTAATTGCTGATGTATTAACGGTTATTGCTGAAAGCTTTAGATAAAAATGGCGAAAAAATGTTGGGATTAATTGTTGCGGTCATAGGGAATATTTCCTGAAATTTATGCGACGCAGTGGTTATCATCAAATGTTATTCGTAGAACTGTCAATGGACATTTTTTACTTCAATCAACATTAATTATACAATTAATATGCATTCAAATTAAAAAAATATTGGTTTTACAGGGAATTGGGGATGAATCAAAAGAATTATTTTAATATTTTGTATCTATACCAGACTCATTAACAGACACTGTTCAACAACTGAATGATAATGGGTTAGATAAACTTGCCAAAATTTCTACCAGTCATTCAATGTAAAAGTACCTCCAAATGCATAGAACCAATGTCAATAAACCTTGACGAATCACATTTTACAATATATACGGAATGTAAGAACCCGCGTGGTCTTAAAATCCAACAGACCAGGATGAAATGTTTGGAGAGATAGAGATAGAGAGAGAGAGAGACTCACACAATGGACAACTAGTTCTCCTGGTGAGACAGGAAGATCATGGCCATGGGATACTCACCACAGAACCGAGCCCATCCATGTACAGGTCTCTCGAAATCCAGAGAGAGTGACCAGAAAGCAGATTAAATGGCCCACTGCACACGAGAAGGATGAATGGCAGAAGTTTGATCAGGATTTGAGTAATATTTTACGAATGATATCGAAAGGCTATGCAGATTGTAGATTATATACAATGACTATCATCGTTAGTTACACATCAGAAAGATTCGATTATGTCCAAAGGAATATAAGAATATGCTTCAGACAACCTGGGATGCCGACAATCACTCCCTTCTGTACTGAAGTATCTATGTAAATGTTGGCATCAAGATAGTACCGAAGTCGTTGGAACAGCATGCTGAAGAAGATTTTGGTCTCAGTGTCCAGCAAAGAAATCATTATTCTTTAGGAATCCATACTGTATTAACGAACCTCCAGTTTTGCAACTCTACCTCTTCTCCAAATTGATTTTAAAATCTTCGAGATGAACCTGAATATTCGGACATCTCTTATAGACACTATAGGGAACACCGTTGGTTCCTGGGACCGAAGCTGATCTAGCTGCCAATATGACCTCCTTTAATTTCGCCGTACACTGAAGATTACCATTTCTCTTGTTTCCGAGTAATCTCTACGCAAATCCAAAAGGGTTTAAAATAAAGGCTAATCTTTTCCTAGCCCTCGCTTTCGCACGCTTTCTGTGACATTTCGCACTACAAATAGTTTTAAGATTTTTCCTTAATATGTCTCGGAGTTCCGAAAGAGGTGGTTCTTCCACTTCATTTGGTTGTTTTGTATTGTGTCTTAGCTCATGTCTCAACTGGTGAATTTTCTTTTCCTGGCGGTTATCTCTTGGTTCTTTCTGCCAGGTCGGTTTATGTTATGGATTATATATCAATTTACAATATTGCCAAATATTCTGTGGCCCCTGACATCATATGAAGTGGCATTGACAACAGCTGATGAAGAAAAAGTGAGTGGATATTTTAGATGGCTCGACTTAACCAGGTGTTTGAACAGTGCAGCTCCGTATGGAGTATCGAACTTCCCTTCAGTGATCAGTTGAGTTGTTTAAAGTGGCGAAGACAAGGAAAGTAATCCTATATCGGGATTCAAAAGATCCTAAATTTGCACAAGCAGGAATAGAAGCACGAACTCGGATAAAGTGGAAGGCATCATACGAGCTCAGTACAGCAGAGCAAACGTTGAGACAGAAAGCTCTAGTAGGAACAGTGGAATTTGGCAGGTCAGACCTAGGTTACTGTTCCAATCCACTAAGGAGAACAAGAAGGAAAGATCGGAAATGCTGTCTTCATTATAGGTGTGGATAAAATTAGAGCCAGTAAAATGGTGGCTTTAGGTCTGGACAAAATTAGGAAACCTAGAAAAAAGGAAGATTTCCTAGACAGATATCTAGTATACTAATCCCGGTAATACAACCTTTCTTAGGCAGGAAGTGTATGATACATTATTCAGCCCGGCAAATCTCCACACGTGGGTAAAAAAATAAGTCTCCACTTTGTCCGTTGTGCCAGAAGGAAGGATCCCTCCAACACGTATTGAGCGGTTGCCCTAAGGCGCTAAATGAGAGACCTTACCGGTGGCGCCATGATAAAGTTTTAGGAGCCATTTTGCAACAACAGTCTTCAGGGGTCTACAAACAAATCGATATGAACTGAATAAGAAGACAATGAGTTTTGTCAGAGCCGGGGAAAAGGTAAAGACATTACAGAAGAAGAAAAAATACCTCCTCAGTTCTTCCTCGGGCTGACAAATGATAGTAGATATAGACAGGCAGCTAAAATTCCCAATGAAAATAATACAGACTAAGCTTCGTCCAGACATGATTATTTATTCTGAAATGACCAAGCAATTCATCATGTTAGAATTAACAATCCTCTGGGAAGAAAACACGGACGAATCCCACGAAAGGAAACTTTGGAAATATTTACATATTGTAGAATGCATAAGGCGTGGTTGGTGAGCTCAGTGGGAACCGATTAAAATCGGATGCAGGTGCTTTGCTGGGCTGGCACTATATAAGATGTTGCTAAAATTAAGTGTAACATTTCGAAAAGCAGAGCTATTCGCTCAATAACAATGTCAAAAGAAGAAGCCTGTAGAGAGTTACGGCTTTAATTATCAAGTGATTGGCAATCAATAAGGAGATGAAAGGAAGTTGCGGTTGATTTTTTTTTCGAGTTGGGGTAGATCTTGACCTAAAGCTACACCCGACAATGGAGTCTCGACTAGGGGACAGAATTAGGGTAACCCGAAACGTTGTTACCTGCGAGTGCTCTGTGGCTAAGATGTAGCACGTGTTTGCCCCCTGCCAGGGTTACGGTTTTGTAGATGTGTATGTTAGTATGAGTGTGTGCATGCATATATGTGTGTATATGTATAAAATGGAATTTCAGTTGTGTCGTCTAACGGTAACACACTCCATACAGACAAGAAGGAAATTATATCACGATGGAAAGAATGCTTTGAAAGTGTCCAAAATTCCACATCTGCCATCGATGACAACGTCATTGCCTCAATTCATCAGCGACCAGAAATTTCCCAGTTTTCTCTTGAGCCATGCCTAAAGGAAGTCCAGGATTCTATCAAGTAAAGATGCTATTCCTCCTGAAATTTTTAGATATGGTGGAAGGACTCTGGTTAAGAAACTCCTTGAGCTTTTTAAAGTCATATGGAAGGTTGGTTCTGTTCCACAGGGGTACAAAGATGCTTGCATAAAACATCTGTTTAAGAACAAAGGCAAAAAGGTTGTATGTAATAATTCCCGTGGTATTGCACTTCTAAGTATCGCTGGCAAAATTCTCGCTCTTCAAATGCCTCTTTGGATAACAAGATAGTTAACCAAATATCAAAGGCAACCAATACCTTTGGGAAGCTTAAGCATCGCCTGTGGGATATTCGTGGGATTTCACTGAAAACGAAAATCAGTGTATATCGAGCAGTCATTCTCACCGGATTATGGGTCATAATCGTGGACACCATACAAGACACACATCAATCAACTTTTCGTTCAATATGCGGTTATACATGGCAGGACAAAATCTCTACCCCTGATCTTTTCATCAAATGTGGCATCGGTGGTATTGAATCCTTTCTGATACAATCACAATTCGGATGGGCTGGTCATGTCATCTGAATCAGTGATAATCGGATGCCGAAAATCATCATGTATAGCCAACTTTTTCATGGTAAGAGTAATGTAGGCCGTCCTTTGTTACTCTTCAAGAACAAACTCAAGTACGATTTAAAGGCTAGAAACATCCCTATACACGACTTCGAACTTGCTGTTGAAAACCGAGCAAACTGGAGAAACACCGACCACCAAGGCATAACTAACTTTGAAAAGAATCATCTCAACCATTTAAGAGAATTAAGAACCAGCACTAAATCTCGGGCCAATACATCAGCCCATATGAAAGTCAACACAATGCATGTCGCTCGTGTGGACTTGTTTGCAAATCTCATACAGGAGAGAGTTCATTATGTAGATAAGTGTTATATATATATATATATGTGTGTGTGTGTGTGTGTGTGTGTGTGTGTGTGTGTGTGTGTGTGTGTATGTGTGTGTGTCTGTGTATGCGCGCGCAATTGACATAAGGGAGAGGCTAATTTTTTCGGGTGGATGTTTAACAAGAATGAAAATGGAATAAAAGTAAGCAGAACGTGATTCATGTGTGCGTTTTCGTATGTGTACATGTATATATGTCTCAGTGAGGGAAACATATCGTTACTTACCATTTCAAGTCGAGCGCGTCGCCATATTCTTTACTAAATCGAAAAGAGTTGCGTTTGCTTCCTTTTTTATGGAAGAGCGTACATTGTTGGCGAACCTGAAGTTCTCCTTGATTAGACTATAAAATGCCAAGAGGAGTCACAGTGTGTGATTGGGAAAATAGGGAAAAACCGAACGGCCGATCATTTTCACGTCAGTTTTTCCTAAGGTTTAAAAGTAAGTGTGCCATTTGTTACGTTTTTTATTGCTGTATTGGTAAATTTCTATTTTGTTTCCCGAGCGTTAATATCCCTTCAAATTTTTTCAAAATCGTCATAATTCCGTGCAAATGTACATGCTGAACTCGAATTAACAATTAAATTATGAAGAAACCTTACCGTTTTGGAGTTATCGACAAGAAAAAAATCGGACTTCTTGTTGGTCATTCGTCCCCCATTATTGCCATCATGAATCCTCAATCACTGCCGAAAGATTTTTGGCGGAGTCATAAAATTTGGGCCTATTTACTTCTTTTACAGACTTTCCTTGCAGAAAATCACTACGCACTACCGTAAAGAAATGTAATTTTTTTTTTTTTTGGGGGGGGGTAAATTTAGTTTTATTTATAACAAAAACAAATTAAATAATACAATAGAACCTTTTTTTCCGTTTCGAATAGCAATGACAAATTAAAAGAACAAATTAAATAATAAAAATAAAGCATTTTTTATATTGTAAAATTGAAAATAAAAAAAATTAATGCACAAACTTGGTAAATTATTAGATTTTTTTTCGTTTTTTTAATTTGTCCCCTTAATTAAATAATACAATAAAACCTTTTTTTCCGTTTCGAATAGCAATGACAAACTAAAGAATAAATTAAATAATAAAAATAAAGCATTTTTTATATTGTAAAATTGAAAAAATTGTATATTGTAAAATTGAAAATAAAACAAAAATTAATACACAAACTATTATTATTGTATTATTTCATTTGTTTTTATATTGTCCCCTTTTCTACACAGAAAACCCCACCCTTGACCTTAACACCTAACCTAAAGTTAATCTTTAGGGTTAGGTGTTAAGGTTAGGGTTGGGGTTTTCTTTCTGTGTAGAAAAGGGGACAAATTAAAAAAGATTAACTTAAAAAAAATTAAATAATACAATGAATCCTACTTTACCAAGTTTGTGCATTAATTTTTGTCCCCTTTTCTACAGAGGAAAGAAACCGGAACCGGAACTGCAACCACAAAAGACGAAGAAGAATGAAGTACAGACAAGTCTAATAGTCGTCAAAAGTCCAGGAAGGTGGACGGAAGTGATTAAAAAGGGGAACAAAAGTGGCAGCCCCTACACATCAACAGGAGTCAAAAGTAGAAAAATGCGATCAGCAGCAGCAGCAACAGCAAAATATTAAGGGGTAGCCCCAACTGGCGCGGGAGGGTCAGCAGAGGCAGCAACAGGAGGAAATACATGAGGAGCGGCAGGAGGACCTCCATCCAGAACAGCAATAATGCGAAGAGCTGGAAATGGTCCTCATGAAAAGAGTGAGAGAGGAAGACGAAGAGAAAAAGGAAGAAAAAATTTCAAGTTGGTCGAAGTAGAGTGGAGAAGGCCATGGAGAAACCAAAGTTCCAATCCGTCCATGCTTCGCCAACAAAAAATAAAAAACAAATCAATACAAGAAGCCACCCTTCTTCCTCTTTTAAAGCTCCGCTGCACCTCCCCCACTTCCCACCACCCCTCCTCCCAAAACACTCACTCCCAACACACCTGAAATCAATAACAACTGCACTCCTCTTCTCAACACCCCCTCCTTCCAACACCCTTCACAATAGCACTTCCCAAAAAAAAGAAAAAATATTATCCCAGGGTGGGAAAGGTCCTGTCAAGTAAACAGGTAGGCCTTGAAACGGGATCTCTCGTCTTCAAAAGAAGCACTTTTAAAAAACTTCTTCCGTGGACGGTCAGTCAATGGAAGACCCTCAGAGTTTCCCGAAAGCAGCAGGAGGGTTTTGCGGCGGGAGGGTCCCAGTTATCTCCATCCTTCTTTATATAGGGTCCTGAAACTCACGTATCTCACGGATGTCGGCAACATTGTCCTGGATGGTCGCATGACGACAGAGGTGGGGGAGAGGGTCCTTTCATCCGCAGATTTCCGTCCAGTTTCTGACTAGGAGAAACAACTTGAAAAATGTTTCTCAAGATAGTAACTTTGAATGCGAGGGGCTTGAGGGATTGAAGTAAGGCTGGCCGCCTGCTTCGTGATCCTTCGGCGTAGATGTGACTGCGATCCAGGAAACTTACTTTGTTTGCGAGGTTGATGCTTGTATACTGTCTAGCGACGACATCATCTATTCAGCACACGGAGAGCAGATGACCAGAGGTGTTTCCTTGCTGGTTAAACTGACCTTTCATGCGAGGGTGAACCTTGTCCATGTCAATGCGGGCCAGGGCTGTTGGTCGTGGCCAATATTGCCGTGAACAATAGTTCGTTTAGTGTCGTTGTGCTTTATGCGCCAAACGATCAGAGGGAGCATGTCTCGTTTATCCGTCAGTTTGGGACTTTCCTGGTTGATTCTTTGCGCTTAGTCTTAATCCCGGACTCCAAAACAGACAGAGGCGGGGAGCTAGCAGGAGGTCGTCGACCTGATCAACGAGTTTGGCCACATCGATAGATACCGGGTCGATCACCCATGTGGCCGTCTACCGGGGTAGCCAGTTACATGGATAGAATGTTAATGAGGATGACCGATATAGACTTACTTGCCCCACGTTCCACTGATTAGGCTATTCGGACCATAGACTCGTCTGTACCCGGATGGTGTTAGATGCTAGACTAGGCCTAGAATGGCTGGACACTAGAAGTTCAATCTGTCTGTACTGGACAGACGGGATTACAGCAACAGTTAATTACACTAGTGCGGCGGGAACTGGTGGGGCGGTTACTGGAAATAAATAGTGGAAGAGGCTTAAGCATAAGATTAGGTCCTTCACCACCGAATATGGCCAGATGATTACAGGCCAGCGGCTCGCACTAGATAAGGCTAAAAAGCGGAAGACTCTTTAAAATAGTCTGTCCCGGTCGGCGGCAAGAGGGAGCGACTCTTTAGAGTGAGGTAAAGACGCTGGAGGAGCGTACTCTGAGGTCGACACTTGACATGTGCGAGGCGTTTCGGCGGCATTTCTTGAGCTTAGTCTCTGTGATGAAGAGTTTCGTAACTATTTTGACTTTCACCGACTGAAGCACCTACCTGTGAGAGTGAGATCACGGAGGGCGAAGTCTACTTGACATTGAAGATGGTCAGCAGTGACAAGTTTATCGTATGAATGATACTTGACGCTGTCGCACATCTTTGTCGATTTTGACTGTCGTGTTCAACAACCGGTTCTGCTGTTGAAAAAGGCCAAGGATGGTGGGTGGGAATTAGATGATTACAGGCTCATAACTCTGATAAACACATAAAGATTTCGGCCAAAATCCTGACTGGGCGTTTGCAGTCAGTTGCCGAGATTCTGTTGGGACCCGAGTAGACTAGTCCTATGAAGGGTCGAAAAATTCAGATCAACCAGAATCTGATCTGCACTATCCTAGAGGATGTAAAAGAAGACGAGCAATCTGCGCTGATCAATCCAAGGCATTTGATAGAGTCGACCATCGGTACCTGGCTGCTGTCCTGGCGGCCGCTGATTTCCCACCCGACTTTTGCAGGTATCGCTCCCCCAGTGCTCTGGTACTGGTGAATGGAAAAACTGTCACGTCGCTTCGTCAGGGTTACCCACTGTCGCAAAGTATGCAACCAGCAATTCAAATTCAATTTTCTAAAATGAGATCAAAACAAATGGCTAGTAACATTGAGAATAATAACTGAAATATCTTCATAAAAGAATTTTTATAATTTTTTGTTTTGCTTTTCCTGATGGAGTCAAAACAAATTATTTTTGCTTCCAACTCTTGAATATGTTACATAAAGTAGTCCATGGGAAAAGTATTGTTCTTCAAAGTATATGCCAGCAAATGAGAGAGTCTGTCCTTGGGATTTATTTATGGACATTGCAAAGCTTAGTTTCACTGGAAACTGCAATATATTGAAAGGAAACTTTACATCGGTTGTGATCAAAGGTATTCTTGGGATGAAAACATATTCTCCTTTACCACATCTTGACAGAATGATTGCTTCAATAAGGTGTGGCATCATTTTCTTAACTACAAGTCTGGTTCCATTACAGAGTCTTGCTGGATTTAGATTTCTTAATAACGATACTGAAGTACCAGCTTTGAGATCTAATTTCTAATGCGGTAGTCCAGATGGATCTAATGAATTCATAAATTCAACTTGATAATTCATTGTCTCTGAAGAGCCCACAACTATATCAAAGGAATTATAAGAGTGATATTCTCTTAAGATTGTCAAAAGTTCAAAGTTAATGGAGTTCACAGTAATATTTTTGGAGACAACATTACTCTTTCACTTAACAACTTGTGATTCTGAAAATGTTCATTGATGTTTAAGATACTGATCATTAATTCTTTGCCAGACTGCACCAGGGTGCTTATTGATGACAGTTTTAAGTAGTCCTCATTGTGCACAGGTGCTTCTCCTTCTCCAAGGAATAATAATATTTTTGGAAATTCTTCAGACATTCGATCATTAGATCTCATATTTGTTTTCCGTTTTATGGTTTTGACATGTTGTCAAATTCTGAAAGATTTCATGTATACTCGAATCTCATTTGCTTTTGTTCCTTTTAGTATAACTGGAAGTATTTTCAGAAATCTCCTGATAAAATTATTTACTCCGCCCATCAGAGACTGACTGCTTCTTACATCTCTTAAAATTCGACCGATAATCCTTCTTGCAAGAAGCCTCTTGGATAAGTCTTGATACGCATGTTGTCTTTCATACAGGGAGAATTTATATTCATGGACATAGACCATGTGTACTTTCACCATTTCATACAGTGATCTATCTTCAGTTGGTTCGGATAGTTCTGTAGATATGATATTATCAATTTGATTAGAATGAACTGACTCTATCAACTAAATTAAAATGTGAGCACGTATTTGCCACTCTATATTGTACATATGGCATTTAACTAGATCAAATACTAACTGGATCTTTTGTGAATAAGTCCTTCATCTTGGTTATTTCTCAGCCTAAACACCCTAGCGATAAGATCATGTCTATGAACATGCGACTGTCCTTCAAGCAGTTAATTTTGAATTTCTTTCTATTTTTGATTGCAGGTGAAGGTTATAAAAGAATCTAGGTAGCCATATTGTCCAACATAAATCATTACATCATGCGTTCTTTCCTGCACGTATCGTGGTCTCCCCATATAATCGGATGGCAAGATAAATTGCTGGCCTCTGTTACAGCAGAATCATTATTGACTGCATGTTTCAAGCAAGCATACTCTTCAGATTTGAGTTGTTCCTCTTAAGGTATCCTAATCTCTCTGATTCAATTTTTCATTCATGTCAACTGCATACTGATTGGACAATTTTTGATGGTCTCCACTATTTCGGCATAAGTTTTCTATATTTAAGTTTAAAATGAATTTTTTACAACGAAAAACATTCTTGAAGATTTTATTTTAGCTTTAAAAAAAGTTTAATCATTAAATTTATGATTTCCATTAATTAAACAATTCTGGTGTATTTCAGATAGAAACTATATACATTTGATTGTCAAATTTAAATTCGAATTTTTAAATTTTCTTAAAATCGGCATTTTCCTTAATTTTAAGAAATTTGTAAACAAACACAAATTTATCGATTTTGAAAATATTTAAAAAAATTTCTGACACGTCATTTTAGTAAAATTAAAAAATTTAAAGTTAGAGTAATCTGATTTGAAAGAAATCTTTCTTACTTATAGCATAAAAAAATAATATACAACCAATTATTAACGAGGGGTCCTGTTCATCTGATCAAACTATTGATGGATTGTTGAATGACGAATCGATGACAGCTACTACGGATGACCATAAATGAAAAATTTTTTAAAATTCTGAGTTAACGGTTTTTTGGTGGGTTTTTAGCTACCTAGTAATTGTTAGAAATAAACATATTTTCCGCAATTTTTAATGACTTTTACCTTTCGAAGATGCAAAAATAAAAAAAATAAAATAAAATAACATGATAGAAGTAATTTCATAATTTATGAAATGGTAATTTAATTATTATTTAATAAATCAAAATTAAATGTGACTTTCCAATCCAATGTATATAGTTTCTTTCTGAAATACACCAGAATTTTTTAAATTTTTATAATAAATTTAATCATTAAACTTTAATTAAATATTTGTTCCTTCTTAAAGTTTTTAAAAAATTATTCTATTTGAGTATGACCCACACTAATGGAAATACAATACATAAAATAAAAATATTTAGTGAAATAGTAAATGAAAAAAAGAAAAATTACTTTAAAATTTAAAGTTTAAATTTTACACTTTTAAAGCTAAACGGAAAATATAAATATAAATATAAAACAACTAAGAAACGAAATGTTATGAAAAGGCCACGTAAAGGGACAAAACTCTTATATCACGTGATCTTGTTACAATAATGGCAATTTCAGTATATCATACATGGGAATAAGGAATGTATTAAGTAAAAAAGTACAACATAAAAAATTATTTTTAAAAAAATTAGCGCAACTAAATTTATTAAACTTAGCAATTTTGGACTCGTAAATTGTTTTTGAACTTACTTACTACATAACCTCGAGGAACCAGCCTAATACAGAGCTTTACACGATTTTAAACTATTATAAATTATTATAATTAAAATTTCTTAAAAAAATTCTTGCAAAATTTAATTATTCATCAGAAA